ACGAATCGTGATAGCGTAAGTGGCAATTGCTGAAATCGCCCGCTCCCCTTCGACAATGTTGACTTCCATGAACTCGCAACGTTCCCCCCGCCGCTGGCGAAGCTGCTTGGTTCTCAACATTGTTCGAGGGATACGGGAGCACTCAAGATAACAATGGTTCACCCGATCGCTATAGAGTACCCAAGCGTTCGCGAGACACGGTCCTCAGTTTTTCGTTATCGAATGTGCAACGATAACCCGTTGTCACCAGGCAAACGCAATATGTTCTCTACAATAAGCTTTATCAGTGTACAGTAACCTTAGTGAGACCATGAACATGCGCAGCACGATTAATATCGTCTATGTATGGATAAAAGGCAAGGTTACCTGTAATGTCGACAAGTCTGAGACTATCAGTAGACGTCAGCGCGTCAATTAAGGCGTCTGTTACGGTACTGTTCGTGGATGAGGCTGAGACCGTAATGATCATAGAGGATGCTGATTTTTCAGCATCATTACCTCGTATATCGGTAGCGGCAGTGGCTGCGTGTAGACTAGTTGAGTCTTTTACCTCATCGTCAACAGAATATATCTCGTTAAAGGCTATGTCGAGTGTATTCACACCACCAAGATATCTGTGAACCAGGTCATGGGCCGTATGTGAGTACTCGCCACTTACGTAACGGCATCTATGATAGCGACCGTCCCTTGCACCCCAATACGTTGCCCTCGTAAGGACAACTCCGTAAGAACCGTATTGCAGTTTGTCAGGCATGATGCGACTATGATTGCATCCGAGGGGCACAATACAGCCCTTGAGAACTGCTGTTCATATCTACAAGAGTTTCATATCGAAGATATTGCAGATGTTATAATGACAGCTTGGCAAGCCTCATCTGCTTGGGAGGATTTCTGGCCAATGCAATCTCCTCAGTGAGATCCAGCAACGATCCTGGCTCATCAGCGTCACAGTGACCAAGATCTTTCATTATCTTGAAATAGGTCACTGCGAGGGATATTTGTTAACCAATACTATACTCGTTGTATGGCATGATACTGAATATCCAATGGTTGGGAACGGAACCAATCCCTGGCCAGACCATAGTCAGAGACGATCATTCTCACTAATGCTAGGCCATACCTGCCAGAAGCATAATGAGAAGCGGTCATTATCACAAAGCATCCAAGACTGAGCATACCCCTGATAGAGCGTACTAGCTTACTCATCCAATGATGGGTAGTCTATATCAAGCTGTTTGATTCCAAGGCCACACCTCAAGGCAGATTGTTTCACTCTTGTAGAGCATCTATGTGACAATTTGATTGGGAGTATGATAACACTTGATGCCTTTTTATTGCTCCACGATACACTGCGCCGATACTCAGGTCCAGAGTAGATCTACATTTGAGATAATCCAAGTCTAGAAGAACATGGCTGACTCGGACCTACAGTAAGGACAATCAAACCGAAGCATATCAGAAGGCTGGCATGTAATATTGAGCATACACTTCTCAACCTTCCATGAGTGGCGATACTGTCCGATAATAACGCTATACCTCCTATCGTGAAGTAGTTAGCAGATATATCCAAATACTGGAGACGTTCACCTATGGAGTCTACCACTGACTATTCCGACCATACAGAATACTACATGCCGCCAAGAGGTCTATGAGACTATTTATGCAGGCATCAGTGAGTTGATTTGAGGCAATGTCCACCTCAAGGAGCTGAGCGTTACGTTTCATGAGAGTTAATGCGAATATACCAGAGGCATCAAACATGACTCTCACCTGAAGCCAACATATAACATTGTACACTTGCTCGAGTTATAATGTGTAAAGGTGTACTTACACTGGGATCCTCAGACCTCCACGCAGTGGTGATGAATGGGCATCCTTCGAAACATGATATGTCATCCATATTGATGGCCTTAGCTTCCTCCTCCGGAAGCATCTGCAGGGGTATTCTAACTGGATCGGGTGAGAGCACTGTTTTGGTAGATGATAATATATCTATAATGTCAATGGTATTGAACTTTTTCAGAGTAGAGAGTTCGGGTGCGCCTGAAGTGTTGAGGAATAGCCGCTCATAAAAATATTGTTACCAGCATTAATGTTGTGTTTCACATTCTCCCATACAGCATTCGCCATGAGTTCCGCACCTGAGGACGGTTCCTGGCGAGCCTTTGGGGTGTATTCCTATCACCTGTAATACTTATCCCATTGTTTTCTGAGAAACGTATTTGAGCTAATGTTGTGTTACGTTCCAAGAAGTCTGCTATCTGACCTATTTGGGTTTCATTCAATCGTCCAACATTCCTATAATCAATATGAGGATTCGATCTCAATGCTCTAACGAATGGAGGAACCTACCACAACAGCCTAACTGGATGCATGGAGAGCTGAGTTTATAACATTAGGATTGATGCTCAAAGTGCACACCTCTGCTACTGTCTCTCCTAGACTCGTCCCCTCTGTATCCTGTAGATACCGCAAACTCAGAAGAT